CTGTGAAGAAGAAATTATATACACTCATGAGAAACCAGACAGCAAATGCTCGTTTGGAGTATGTATGTACACGGATCTATATACCTATATACACCGGGCAGCCTTATCGACGCGGGGGCCCCTCCGCCCACCCCCCGGGACACCCCCCTCGTCAATAAGAGCAGTGACGTCTATACACACTGTGCAATTCGGATACAGCTGGTGTCTAATTATTTTTTTTTTTTTTTGTCTAGCAAACGCATGGTTAAATGACTTGAAATTCCCACGAGTCCTCCTCCAACAGTTTATCGGCCTCTCTCCATTCCTGGTCCCATTTCTCCCGTAACCATGGAAACCAAAGGTTCAGCTCCAGCATCCTTAGGATGAGCGAGTCCTTCTTGGATTTCCTCTTCCTATCGATTCGCTCAGATTAGGCACCACACATGGGGTTGATCCAATACCATTTTTTTTCCCCCCCTTGCACTTCGCCGTATGACATTGCGTCATCTCAAGCGATGAGGGAACAAGTGCAAATGGATAATTACAGTCTTACAAACAGCAGAAAAAAAATTAAAAAAAAAACACACCAAAAAAAACCCAAACCCCAAAAGATCAACCCCAAGCTCAGGACAGCCAGGAGGGGGCTGGGGAGGGGACACGGTCCCCACAAGGGTCCATGTGCCTGGACCTTGGGTGGTTCTGTGGTGTCCAGCAGCTCCCCCAAGAAAGGGGGAATGAAATTGGAGGAGCCACATGCAGTGACCTCATGGGGAAACCAAGGCTGTGGGGTGCCACTCACAGGGGCTGGAGAAGTGGGGGGCTTTGGCCCAGGCAGGACAGTGGCTGGGGGGTGGGGGGGGGCCTGTGCCCCCCCCGGGGGGGGGACCTTGTCCCACCTCCGGACAAGGTAAGGGGCGGCAGCCGGTCCCCAATGGAGGGGACCAAGGGATGGGCTGGATGTGGAGGAGGTCTAATGCTGCCAGGGGTGCAAGGAGGGAGCCACAGCCTTTTTTTGGGTGCAAAATGAAATGGTTTGGGGCTGATTCCTCCTCTCCTCACCCCTCAGTTCCTGTCGCCCCAGCAGCATGACCAAAGAAACCGCTGGGACCCTCCCAGGGATGTACACCCTGAGATAAACCCACCCCAGCGCCAAAACCAGGAGATGCTCCTTGCCAGCACCCTGGGACCAGAAGCCAGAATGGTTTGAGGGGCTTGAAATCCAGCAATTACCAAAAAAACCCCTAAACCCCACCCAGTGTGGCACGGCGCTTGCATGGCAAACAAATCCCCTCGACTTCTGCCCGCCTTTCCCTGCACGGTCACAGAAACAGTCCCAATGGACCCAGGTCAGGGGTTTGGGATCCAGAGCAGAGATGCTGCAAAGCCGCCGGTTTGCAGAGGGATGCATGGAGCTGGATGCCACCAACCCCTCAGGTACCCCACTTCCAAGCCCAGATCCAGATCTCCTCCTTCGCTCGAGCCCATCCCTAAGCGTATTGCAAGCATTGGAAAAGCTACAAGCCTTTGGCAGCGATTTCAAGGGCTGACCCAGGAATTATCTGATAACAAAGCAAGGCCCTTCCCAAAATACCTCCTCCTCCTCTGGCTTTTTCTCTCCTTCTGTGTATTTATGCACAAATATGCCCATATTTACCCGCCCACGTGCTACACTCTCATAACACCCATCCAGAGATCCTTTCTTCGTATAGATCAGTGTTCAGCTCTGGAGGACTTTGGCACAAAACACCGTTGCAGAGATCAGTTTTTCCTGATAAAACATCCAGATAATTTTTTTCCTAGCAACCCTAATCACTTGGTGGTGTCCAGCCAGTATACGAGCCTCACCCCACAACCCTTAGCAGGGATTTTGGAAGATATCACAGGGCTGATGGGCTGCTCACAGGTTCAGGCATGTGGCTGGGTGTTAGAAGACAACCCACGCTGTCATCACCACTTGCCATCTCTCCAAAACAATGGCACAAAGGTTACAAATGAAAATATGGCTGCTGTCTCCTCTGGGTGCCAACCCAGGGGCACTTCTGGTGACCAGAGACCTTCAGTCCTCCAGCCCACCCTGGGATCTCCATCCCACATCTCCGCGGGAGGAGGGGAGGCAGCTACACCACCCACCTCAGGTGGCCCGACGCAATCTAATGTAGACGGTGGGACTCTCCCCCTCCCCGGTCACTAATTGAGCATCCTCAGTCTGAGCCACTTTGCAGCTCATTTTGGATCCTTTCAGAGTCCAGGAGAGTTTGGGATGCTCAGCATCTCTGCGGAAACAGGCCCAGAGTCTCTGAAAGCAAATTTGTCAAGGGGAAAAAAAAAAAAAAAGAAAAAAAAAAAAGAAAAAACCCACAATCTCCTCCTGAAAACTGGTTCAAGATCACATCAGTGAGTCAGAAGCAAAGCTCGAAATAGCACGAGAGCTCCGACCTGCAGGCACAAATCCCATTAAAAGCTAGAGGAGAACCATTTCTCTGTGCGGGGGAGAAACCTGGACCCTTCTGCTTCGTGCAGCCTGACAGATCGCTCCCAGCCACAGCCCCCACGGACCTGTTTCACCCTGAACCAACCACCCCAGTGCTTATCCAGGCGCATTCCCTATTTCCCAAACACAGTGCCCAGAGATGCTCTCCCACCAGCGTTCGTCTTCCCCAGGAACATCTGCCTGGGTCAAGGCAAGAGGAGCAGGATCCATCCCAAGGAAGGGACCGGCCATGCCAACCCCTCCACGGGGCCGGACATCAGCTCACACCAGTGATGGCAGGAGGAACTTGCTCTTTGGCCCCGTTCATCCCTATGATGAGGTTCTGAGGCTTCTCGAGGCAGCCAGGACCCCCCAGCTGGGTGAGTGGGTTTGGATGCTCCTGATCCTGCTCCCAGCCCCGCTCTCCCCTCCTGCCTGGCCTCAAAAAGCCCATGGGGACACCACAACCAAAACAACACTTCCCCAAAAAAAAATCCATGATCCTCCTCCTTACCAAACCACAACAGCACTCCTGCTCCCAAGACACACCCAATTCTTTGGTGGATGCTCCCCCAAACTCATCCGAAGTCCACAGGCATTAAACAACCGGACACCTTGCAAAGCCTCACTGAGCACCAGCATCCTCCCAAAAATCCTGCAGCAACCCACCCCTGGCCTCGGTGCCTTCCCACACCCCAGGGATGGGATCACCCAGTGTGAGGGGCACCCATGGGTGGGCAGGCAGCACCCCGGGGTATCAGGCAGCTTCCCCATGCAAGCTCATATCCCCATGGACCCACCATGAGCCGGATCGATGGCAGCTGGCCAGCCACCCTGGAAATCATGCCCGAGCCAACAGCTCACACCAGCCCCACCCCATTCCCCAGGATGGGTTTCAGAAGCAGAGATTTATTGCTTTTGGTTGAATTGCTGCTTTTTGTGAGTGTTGAAGGTGTTAACAGGCAGCAGCAGAGAGGAAGGAGAGGGCTCCTCAGATAACGAGATGTAATTAAAGACAGGCCGGGGTCCCATGCTGCACGGTGCTGAGCACCTCTGAGACCCAACGCATGGATGCTGCTGGTCCAAGCAGAAGCCAGGACTCTCGTGCACTAACCATGGACACTTGGTAATTAGAGCCAGGCCTCAATCAATCAATCCAATGAAAATGAGGAGCGATGCCACCTGGCCAAGCAGAGCACGAGAGACGGATCCGGCCCGAAAGCAGCATTTGGAACCATTGCTGTAGAATACGCTAGCACCGTTTATTTTGTTGTTATTAGTCTGGGTTTCCTCTCTGTGCTCAGGAAGGGTCTGATGGACCTTCCTCGCCCGCTCTGCAGCGGCGTGCCCTCCTTCTGCCCACCCTGCACCCCAATTTGCCCCAGTTCAGCCCAAATTCACCCCAACAGGCTAAACCCCCTCCCGCACCCCGGGGAGCCTTTGCTGGACCGCGATCTCAGAAGAGGTTTGCATCCCTCTGCTGTGACCTGGCGGAGCAGCGGGGTGCCAGTCCCCGGGGATTGTCGGCAATGGGGAGGAAAGGCAAGAAAATCCCCACGGGGATGGGGGAAGCAGATGAGATCCCCCTGGACCCACAGCTCCTACTTATCCCCAAATATCACCGGTGACGAAGAAGAAGCAGAGATAACCTCAGGGGCTCTGCACCTCGACTTGCCCCTCCTAAAAATCCTGCAAGAAGGCAAAGCAAAGGCTCCAAGGAGTGAGCTCGGGTCCAGCCCAGCCTCGGCACGTGCCCTCTGCACCATAAGGTGATAAACCACCAGCCCTGAGGCTCTACGTGCTTGAAAAGGTGTTTTCCAGCCCAAAACTCACCCAGCCCTGGTGATCCCATGGGTTCCCTGGGGCAGGTCACCCCGCTCCAGCCCACATCCCACCATTCCAGCACCCCCGAGCTGGGAAAAGTTCCTAATGCCCTGAGCGCTCCTGTTTGCTGAGGATTTGGCCCTATAGTCGCTCTCTAAATATCTATACACACACATGCGGTAATTGTATGGGAAACGGCTGAAAACTGCTGAACAAACAAGTCCGGAGAGCTGGTCCCTGCGATTCCACCTGCTCCTCCTGCCCTCTCTGATCCACCGTGGTTTCTGCTCGTGACACCAAGATTAATGACTAATTACTCGCCCCATAATGAGCGCAGGTGTTTAACTTTCAGCTCACCTTCCCTGGCTCGCGTTAGTCGGCTCTCGCGTCTGGATGCTCGGACACTCGGGCTTTGCCGTGTTATCTATCAAACTGTTGTCAGCACATGCCTTCCCCATCCGGTTTTTCAATACAACGGAGATTTTTTTAACTTCCATGAATCTCCTTCAAGCCACCGGAGAATCTATAAACACTATAAACATGAATACTGTATAGCCTACTAAGAAAATATATATTTGTGTGTGTATTAAATATTCAGATTCATGCAACAACTATCCATGCAGCTGTACTGTATTACTGGTTAATTTTCACTGCAGTATCAATATATTATAGGCCACAGCAGAGTTGCTCCAGTTTTATACATAGATATAAAAAAAGATGCTTTTTTCCAACTCATTTTCAATGTGTCAGTGGAGGTGTCTTTGGTGATCCTGGAAATATTGGTGATGGAAGTGTCATCTAAAGAAATCAATAAAATCCAAGCGCTTGATTTATTTACTTGTCCCTTCCGATGCCTAGCATAGAAAATTTAAGACTTAATAAATAATGTGCCGTCATACTAATTATCCCTCCCCTGGGCCTCACACTGGCATACTGCAGTGGCTGAAACTATTGCAGCATGCAGCATTTGCCGTTATGAAACACGAGCCTGGGTGATGCGTTCGCACTTGGCACTCCCGGGGCGGAAACCTGAGCCTTCCAGCAATCCGGACACAACGACTGCATCTTCCCTTCGTTAAGCTCTGCCTGACCTTTCCCAGCCGTTCTCCACGCCTGGGAGCTGGCTGTCACCCAGCTCCATGGGACAGGGAGCGATGTTCGTGGTACCCTGGGATAACCCGGAGCTGCACCTTGTATCCCCATCCCGTCACTCGAAATGCCCAACCGCTCCGTCCCTTTGGAAACCCACAAGCTTGGGATGGGAGAAGGGAAACGAAATGGTTGGGTTGGGTTTGTTTTTTTTTCCTTATTCAGTGTGGAAATCAAAGGTTAAAAGTCACTTACACAGCTATTGCTTCCCATGCAGAACCAAATATACACCGTAGAAAATACTGTGTTAACTACAATGCAGAGCAGCACTCGATATCTGCAATTGTTCCACTTCAGCTTTAAATACGGAACTAGATTTTTAGCGACTAGACATCGGTTAGCATTTTGGTGATATTCACATAGTTTGTGTTAGCTAGGGTGCAATTGGCTGTCTTCAAGTTCTCCTCCCTAAAATCCTCATTGCTATTATTTACGCCTTCCTGAATCTCCATATAATCAGACTTACTAATAGTAGAGGCACTTCTGCTTTTCTTTAGGTCAGGGGAAGAGGGGATCTTTGGGCAGCTGGTTACTTGCAAATATTGAGCCTGCTCCTCTCCCTCCGTCTCCCGGTGGTAGAAGTAATTGAAGTTAGACACTATGACGGGCACCGGTAAGGCAATCGTTAATACGCCAGCGATGGCACACAAGGAACCCACTATTTTCCCCCCGATGGTCGTGGGGACCATGTCTCCGTAGCCAACAGTTGTCATTGAAACCACGGCCCACCAGAAGGCATCGGGGATGCTCGGGAACTGGGACTCGCTCTCGTCGGCCTCGGCAAAGTAGACGGCGCTGGAGAAGAGGATGACGCCGATGAAGAGGAAAAATATCAAGAGGCCCAGCTCCCGCATGCTGGCCTTGAGAGTCTGTCCCAGGATCTGCAGCCCCTTGGAGTGTCGGGAGAGCTTGAAGATCCTGAAGACCCTGACCAGCCGGATGACTCGAAGAATGGCCAAGGACATGGCTTGCTGGCCTTGCTGACCATCCTCCGGCTTCTCGGCCAGCTCCGTCCCCAAGGTGATGAAATAGGGGATGATGGCTACGATGTCAATGATGTTCATGATGTTGGTAAAAAACCCAGCCTTGCTGGGGCAGGCGAAAAACCTCACCAAGAACTCAAAGGAGAACCAGATGATGCAAAGCGTCTCCACGATGAAGAAGGGGTCTGTGAAAGAGGTGGACTGCTGGTAGCCCATGCTGCTGTTGGAGTAGGGGGGATGGCTCAGCCCACTGCCATGCATGTCTTCGTTCTCATCCCGAAAAATGGGCAACGTTTCCAGGCAAAAACTGACGATGGAGATTAAAATCACCATGACGGAGACAATAGCTATAATCCTGGCAGGGCCCGAGCTCTCGGGGTACTCAAAGAGTAACCACACTTGTCTCTGAAACTCGTTCTCAGGCAACGGTCTTTCCTCTTCTTTGATGTAGCCTTCATCCTCCCGAAACATCTCCATCGCTTCTTCTCCCAGTTCATAGAAACGGATCTCTTCCGAGAAAATATCTAAGGGAACGTTAACCGGCCTCCGCAACCTCCCACCGGACTGGTAATAGTACAAAATCGCATCGAAGCTGGGTCTGTTCCGGTCAAAAAAATACTCATTCCGGAGCGGGTCGAAATATCTCATTCTTTTTTTAGGATCCCCTAGTAAGGTCTCTGGAAACTGGGCTAATGTCTTGAGCTGTGTCTCAAAGCGCAGCCCCGAAATGTTAATGACCACCCTCTCGCAGCATTCATGGTCGGTCTCAGGGTTATACGTGTCCTGCGGGTGACCGGGAAGAGCTGCAGCTTCATCTGCAGGATCTCCGGTAGCAACTGTCATATTGGGGTTTAAAAGGAATCCTTACGCTAAACTCTTCCCAGTGCCCGGTGGTGGGAGCGGATTCAGGGCAGGGTTACTATCCTGCAGAAGGACAGGTACGTAGGTTTGGAAGTGTCTCATGAAAAGGCGAAGGGATGATATTTAA